ATATATATATATATATATATATATATATATATATACACACAACTATTTTCCACAATGGATTGTGAGTTTTTTAAATTATTAGTACAGAACTGATATTAGAATAAACCATTTTGGGATATTGCTTCAGGTTACATAGTGAAAATCTTACTCAAATTGAAGGATATTTCATAACTTTTCTAGATGACCAAACTAGTATTTATATAGCTATATACCCACGAAGATTGAGGTAATTTTTGTATGATTCTGAGGATTCATATAAACTTTATTTTAGAGGGTTTTTTATAGTAAATGTAAAAGAAACAATAGCATACAAAAATTGTGTAAAGGTAAATATTTGTCAAAAGGCTGACTTCCCCCCCCCAGAGGAGGAAACAAATGAAAGCTTGACATGAGGGATGGTGTGTGGTGGGGCCTGTGAAAAAACTGCACTCAACAGAAACTGATTATTTTAATGATTTATCTAAGATACTACTGCCATATTATCTAAACACCATATTTTGATTAACAATGGTACTAGGTGTAGATTTATTGTGCTGTGGCAGTGCTTCCATTAAGGCTAAACTTAGCCTGGTTTATATAGATTTATGTATGACTAATTTTTATAGATGTAACTTTCTTAATTTTAAAATGCTTAACTTCTATGTACTATAAAAATAATGCAGCATATTTATATAAGTTATTAGTGGTGCTGTTTCTGTACTATATATTATTTCTGGAACTTATAATTTAAACATCTTTTCAAAAGCTATTCGATTAAAAATAGCCTTAAAACTATTCCACAACCTTCAAGAATATTTTGTTTTAAGACATTAAAATCTTTAAGATTATAATCAGATTTTTACAAGTTGATCGGCACACTGTTTTACACATTGTTCTTCAGCTAAAGTATATAGTCCTAAATCTATATTAAAACATTGTTGAGTAAGAAGGCATATGCATTTCCTATGTATCTGAATTACTTGCTTACTATAAAAAGAGAGCATCCCATTACATCTGTTAGATGTGTTTTTGCTTCTTACATCAACACAATTGTCAACTAATATCTGATTGCAAAATCTTTCTTGCTATTAAATATATAAGATACCAAGAACGCAGCTTGATATTTCAGATGCCAAGTGGAGTTTACAGTTCTGGCAGTTGAAGTGAGTTTGACAAGTAAGCTGTTGCGAGTGGATAAATATAGAACCCCACAGTGCCACTTCTAGGAAATTTCTGCCCTACAAGCATTACTGTTCTGTAGCGTATGTATCTGTGACAGTTTAAGGCATCCATGCTCTAACAGGGTTTTTTAATTGCTGACATAGATTGGGAGCAATATGGTTGTATAATACTGTTCTATAACAGGGTTATAGTCTAGTCCACCCTTACAATGTTTGTCCAGTCCACCCTTATAATGTTTTTTTTTTTAAAAAGAGAGAGAGTGAAAACTGATACTGGGAGCCCTGGCAGACACCTGTCTTAAGGCACATTTCTCTCAGGTAGATGCACCCTTAGAGTTGTTTTGGCAAATAACATTTTATTTTAACAGCACTGAAAAATTATGCTCTATACCTGAACTTTCAGCCATTGCAAACCCAGTTAAATAGATTAAAAATTCTTTTGGAGATGGATCTGCTGTAAATAATCACTTAAATGATTAGTGGGGTGAGGAAGGCGATTCTACCATCAACTCCATAACTACTGGTAATGCAGATCCCTTTTTCTTCTCTCTCTGTATCTCTGTTACTGTCTCCTCACTATCCTTTGACATGGAATTCTTGTAGTAGAGAATGGGTCAGTTTCCTTAGCAGTTTAATCTTTGAAATGTGGAGATTGGCTAAGGTTATATCTTAGTGATAACTACAACATGTCTACATAAATAAAAACACTTCATAAATATTGACTTGTGCCAATGTTATAAATCTGTAATTGATTCTAGAAGGATTTGCTTTTATTTATGGTAGAATTTTAGTAGGCATGTCATTTATTTATTAAGAGAAAATTGAAAAACTACTACTTGTCCTTAGATTCTGGTCATTGGTCAGTCTTTTCCCACCACCGTTTTTCTTCTGCAGCATTTTTTGCATAGATATAACTAGGAATAGTGTCAGTCTGGTGAAGACCACTGAATGCCTTGACTCTGAATGACATATTTTGGGATCATATCTAACTCCATTGACATACAAGATAGGGAGGACTACATCACCAGTTAAAAGAAGAAAACATTAGATTGTAAACTTTGGTCCAAAACCTATTTCTTATTTGAGAAGTTAGTTCCGTTGACTTAAATAAGAATAACGTGAGCATGATTTGACCCTACAGATGTATTAAGTGTACATTCTATACCAGGGCTCTCAAACTCAGTTTACCTTAGGGCCAGTGCCAGTCCTCAAATCCTCCCAGTGGGCCAATAATGTCACTGAAGATGGTGTTCAGAAAAGAAAATGTTTATATTATATTTTTTATTTCAAATTTCTTAGAAATAATAAAACTGTCATACAACTTTATACAATTCTTCGCCTGCCAGAGAGTTTTTAGTGTTTGCCAGACACCTGCCAACGCTTCAGTTCTGTCAGTTTGTTGATGTTTGGCCTCAGTGGCAGAGCAGTTGAAATGTTCAGGATTGCAGCAAGGTGTGCATCAGATAGTTCTGTTCGGTATTTTGACTTGTTTATATTCATTATGGAAAAAAGTGATGCTGCCTCCATGGCTGACGCTGCCTCCATGGCTGACTCTGCCCGGCGACTAGTGATGGTGTCTCTGTCCCTCTCCCCCAGCCAATGGGAGCTGCGGGGGGCAGTGCCTGCAGCAGACATTGCCGACAGCGTGTCTGCGTGCGTCTCTCCTCCGCGGGCTGCAGTGGGGAGGTTCTCGGGCCGAAGATGAGACCCCTGTTCTATACCCTTAAATTATCAGAATGCTCAGAGGTGTTTGAGAGTATTGAGATGAGGATACATTTAGTTCCTCTATGAAGCAGAGGTACAAAAACAATTATACAGGTGTAAAACTTGTTTTCTTTTTTCATTAACACGTATTCTGTCCTGGCATCAAGGTGTTAGGTTGGGCTCAGCTAGAGACTAGTTTCCCAAATATTTCCTGCTATTAAACCTTACCGAAATACTTTCCACTACATATAGTAACATTTTCACGTTTAGAAAAATCATAAATGTTTTATACTGTTCTGTATTAAGTAGTACACTTTGGGTTTACTGCAAGTGGTTTTAAAACATCTAACTTTAGAGAATCTAAAATGAATGCCATGTTTTATAACATTCCTGTGGAGAGTTTTCTATGCTTCCACAACTAATTTTTATTCTCTAATCCCATTGTTCTCACACTTTGTCCTTTCTCCTTTACTAATTACACTGTACAGCCTGTTATGCAAACCTCTTTTGAAGCTTGGTTTCCTCTTTCATTTTCTCAGCCCCAAGTAATCTCCCTTCTGCCTTAAAGTGGTGACCAGTATTAGGTTGCCTCTGTAAATTGCCTTAGAACTACATGTGCTCTCATTAAGCCCCTTCTGAAGTTATGTTGAGGTCGATAGGCAGTTGAGTAAGTCCTGCCTGGTGCTGCTATGGAGTACCTTGTTAAAAACATGCATTGTAGGGTCACTGAAGCGGCTGTTCTACGTGGATCCTTAATCTGGAAAGAGCCATTCCATTAAAATAACTGTGAATGGCACAGAATATTGGGATGAAGGTATATTTATTTTACCCTGGTTTTAGTTTCTCATTTTTCTATGTGGGATAGTGCTCTAGTGATCTTTAGATGATTGCTTATTTTGTTAATTTAAGCTATGGATGCTCATGGTGTGCTGAAGCCAATAGAACCAAGGGCCTTTGTTCTTTAGCAATTACGTTTTATGGGCTTCATCTTGCAATCTGTACTCTGGGTGGAGCCTTGCATCTGTAATGGACCTTATATCAGGCAAATCTGCACCACTGTGGAGTTCCGTTATGTGGAATAGCTTGCAGGATAGGTCTGAACTAGACCACTACACAAAAATAACTGCATGGTGAATAAATAGGGATAACGAGTGGAGTTTGTGTCTGTGGGAGGGGAGACATCAGTAAACACAAGGATGGAAGTTGCCATTGCATGAAATTTACCCTGTTCAGAGGGCTAGGGTCAGACCTATGAACCACTTATTTGACATATAAATCTGGTGCTGACCCTCTGCCCTGGGGTGAATTTCACTTACAAAGAGCAGGAGCGAAGGTGAGCAGCAGCTTTCTGTGGTGGCCCCTCCTTTCTTCCCTTCAAAAGACTTGTTGGTTTCTTAGAACTGAGCCAAAATTTAGATTTCCATTTCATTGGAAATTTCAATATTCTTCAAGTGATTGCACATGTCCATTCCATTATAGGTGTTTGTGTGCTCCAGTGCACAGTTGTCAGAGAGTTTTTTTTCCCCTTAGTGATACCCGTCGGAGTGGCCCAAGTGTCCTCTGCTGCCTTGTGCATGCATAAAGGGAAGACTTGCCCCTGACCCCTCTTCCTTCCTTCCTTCCTATTGCCCATGACGGTTGCTGGAGCTCCCTGTCCTTGCTTCTGCAAGTCTTTAGGTAAGTCCTGTAAATATTACATGTTGTGTAGTTAATTAGTTGTTCGTAAAATAATTGTTGTTTTGTGTGGTGCTGGCACCCGGTCTGGGTAATGGCCTTGGCACTGGAGATGTTCTGCACTCTCTGGATTTCAAGCCCTGCCACTCTTGTGGTAAGACAATCCCTAATAGTGACCCTCTCCTCAGCTGCCTTAAGTGCTTGGGGAAAGGCTAACTGAGGGCAGGTCTACAATCCAGCCGGGATCGACGCTCTGAGATTGATCCACCGGCGGTCAATTTAGCGGGTCTAGTAAGACCCGCCAAATCAACTGCAGATCGCTCTCCAGTCGACACCTGTACTCCACCCCCGATGAGAAGAGTAAGGTAAATCGACGGGATATTTTCTCCCGTCGACCCCAGCGGTATAGATCCTGCGGTAACTTGACCTAAGGTACGTCGACTCCAGCTACGTTATTCATGTACCTGGAGTTCTGTAGCATAGGTCGACTTACCGCGGTAGTGTAGACATAGCCTGAGTGATAGGTGTGCCATTTGTAAGGGCTTTAAGCCCCATTCTAAAAAAGATAGGGCAGCCAGACTAAAACACCTGTTGCTCAAATCAGCACTGTGTCCTCCATCTGAGTCATCTACCTTGGTCAGGGTACCGAGCACCTTGCCAGTGGCTGCTGGTACCAAGACGCAGCTTGGCATTGCTAATACCAAGGAAGAGGCATCAGAAATACGATTTGGTGCCAGACTCATCAAAAGACACGTAGAGGTTGACCTCTCTAAAGATTCGGGAGTGCATTTGAGGGGAAAGCGCTCCCCAGACTACACTTCTAAATAGGGGAGTTCGTTGATTTTTCAGCCCACTACAAGCCGGTCAAGATTGGCTCCTAAAACACCTTTGTCAGCATCTCCTTGTGCCATGGTTGTACAGACTGTCTTCCCAGTGAGAAACTGTTTAAGGCTGCTCCGGCACATGACAGCATGCACTTATGTGGTCTAGTACACCAGATTGTGTCTCAAGGCTGGTTGTCAGATGTGTATTCTCCAAAAAGGCACCACATAGATACATTAGTGTACATATCCAGTTACATCCTGTCTTCTATAGATTTGTGGATAGACCCAACCAATATCTGCAAGGGAGTTCCTTTCACCCTCAACAATCTCATACCTTAGTCATGGATGCCTGGGTTGCGGGAGCTCACTTGGGGCCCCTACAGACGTAAGGTGTCTGGTCTCCCCAAGATCTCAGTCTACACACACACACATCAGAAAGTTGCGGGCTATCCAATTAGCTTGAATAGTGTTCCTTCCTTGCGTCAGGGGGCGGGTGTATTGGTGCTGACCAATAATATGACTGCTGTGTTTTATATAAACAAGCAGTAGAGAGACGGGTCTGCTCTACTTTGTCAGGAAACAGTACTATTCTGGGACTTCTGCAATGGCAACTCTGTTTCTGAAAGTGGCTTACTACTTGGGGGTTCAGAAATATGCTGACAGATCGCCTGAGCAGGATATTTATCAATCACCTTGGTGAGACATAGAAAATCCATTTTCCAGCTTTGGGGAAAGCTGTTTGTTTGCAACAAAGGACAATGCAAAATGTTACCAGTTCTTTTCCAGAGCGGGACACAGCCTGGGTTCATTGACAGAGGCTTTTCTACTGGTCTGCTGTATGCTTTTCCCCTTAATCTGTCCTCTATCCGAAGTTCTGAGCAAGGTTATACAGGACAAGGCCTGTTTTATACTGATCACCTAGTTAGCTGTGTCAGCATTCCACCCTTCTGTGGATAACTGTTCCCTTTTTTCCAACCCAATCTCACTATAAGGGGTTGAGCAGACTGTTTCCTCATGTACGGAACTCTATTGCAGTGGTCTCCAAAGTGGGGTGCGTGCAAGAGGATCCTTCGGGGGGTTCGTGGCAGGAGGAGCAGTTCTGGCGGCTTTTTTTTTTTTTTGCTTCGGCAGTTTGGGCGGGAGTCTGAGCGTTTTGTTTTGTTTTTTTTGCTTGGGGTGGCAAAAATGGTAGAGCTGGCCCTGCAACGTAGCGGGGGGGGGGGTGTGCTTAAAATTTTTTTACTGATAGGGGTGCGCGATCAAAAAAGTTTGGAGACCACTCTATTGCAGCATGGAGCCTGAATCTAGTCTTAACAAAGCTGATTAGTTCCCCCTCTCAAGCCTCTGATGACCTGCTCTGTTGCATCATTCAGTGAAGGTAGAGCTTTTAGTAGCCATTACATCAGGCAGAAGACTGGTAGAGTTGAGGATGCTAGTATCAGATCCTCCACATACTGTTTTTTTATGCAGATAAAATCAGTAAAAAAGCTTTCTTACAAAAATGGCTTCCTCTTTTCATATCAACCAAGCAATTTTCTTACCAACCTTCTTCCCAAAGCCTCATGGTAATACATGGGAGGAGAGAATGCATACTCTAGGTGTTCTTCTAACGCTGCTTTAGCAGTTTTATCTGGAATGATTACATTTTTCAGGTTTGTCTCAATTGTTCATTGCTTTTGTGGACAAAATGAAGGGCAGTCCTGTTTCCATGCAGAGGATTTCATCATGAATATCTGGTTGTATTTGCCTGTATTACCAGTTTGCTAGCATGAAGCCACCAGATTGAGTGTTTGGCTAGATTCCAAGCAACCTCTGCAGAATTTCTGGCTAACATGCCAATATGAGACATTTGCAATGCGGCAACCGGGTTGTTATGTAATACGTTTGCCTCTCAGTGCACAATCTCTCAACAATCTAGAGATGATGCTAAATTTTAACGAGTGGTCCTTAAGTTCCTGTTCCAAACCCAGCTCTAGTTGGTACTGCTTGTGAGTCTCTTACAATGGAATGGATGTGCAATCATTTGAAGAATCAAAAATGATTACTAACCTTTCTGTATCTATTGTTCTTGAAGATGTGTTGCACATGTCCATTTCATGACCCACCCTCCTTACCTCTCTGTTGGAGTTTTTCCAGTAAGAAGGAGGTGGGAGGGCAGGCGGATGACGGGTGGCTTGGCCCTTTATGCCTGTGCATAGTGCATCAAGTAGCAGAAGGCACTAGCGCTGCCCTGACAGATACCACCAAGAGAGAGACTCTCTGACAACAATGCACTGGAGTGCACAAACACCTACAGTGGACTAGACATGCGCAAGATGTCTTGAAGAACAATAGGTATGGAAAGGTTAGTAACTGAGGTTTTTTTCACATTTGTTTTTCTTCTGAATCAAGGCAAAAAATCAAAATGTTGCTTTTTTTGGCTGAATGACAAGTTCTGTAAAATTTTAATTTGTAAACAAACAAACAAAAAAATTAATTTTGACATTTCCATTTTTGATCAGAACAAAATGTTTTGACATTCCTAAAATGAAATGTTACGGTATGTTAACAGAACTGAGATGTTTTGTGTTGGTTTGACGTTAAACTGCATCTACTAATGGTGCTGCAGTGCCTCGTGTGTGTTGTAGTTCTGATGCCTCATGCTGTCACTGTTGACTATGGCTTGGCTACCTGGCCTGACAGCATCTACCATGAGGCACCACATTGTTAGTAAGTGAAGCTGCAGTCTACCTTGGGAGATATAGGCTGACCAGGGAACCCTGCCCAAAGGATAGAATGGTGGCATGAATCACCGAACTACAAATGTAGTTAATGTCAGATTGACTCCAAACAAAATGCATTGGTTCAATTCAACAAGCCAAATTGTTCTTGATTTGGGCTGGATCAAGAAAATCTAAACAAATAATTTCAGCAGAATCAAAATTTTCCCATTGCAAATTTATATTTTGCAGAAATTTCATTTTATATCAAAATCACTTTGACAATAAATATCTGACCAGTTCTATTTGTGATCTTCTATCTACGTCCCTCTCAGTTTAGTGTCCCTCTTTAATTATTTTCCTCACCCAAACCCTTCCTCCTATTATTAAGAACTATCTTTAATCTTTTGGCAGTCACTTAAATGTAGCCTGGAATTTTTACCTCCCAGATGTTCTTCAGTATCTTTAGCTACAGCTTCTGATTGTGAGGCTCATGTGTAAGATTGGAGGTTTCAACCTGCAATTGGCTGAGTGGAAAAAGGAGGGCAAGCTGGAGATCAAGAATCCTGATCTAACACCTCTTAGGAAGGAGAGACAAGGATATATAAGTTGTACTCCATAACCCCGTGTGTGTGTGTGTGAGAATGGTTTGTAGATCTTGTTTTTAAAGTAATCTTACTGTCTTTGTATGTGTTTCTGATGAAAAGTATGCACAATGTAGATTGCTGAGTCATTGTCTCTTCCCATCAACTATTTACATGTCTTGACCCCTCCCATCAGTTATTTACATTTCTTCAGTTTGTCCTTGGACCAGAAAGCAGCAGAAAAGTCATTTTCACATAAACTCACAGGGTGAGTAAACTTGCTCATGGAGGAAGGGCTTTAATTTTCCTTTGGTATGTAATTTTTTATAATTGTGTGGACTAACAGAATGTGCTCAGCTAAGATTGATCACTGATGTGTGAAATGACAATTACAGCAATGGAGAGTTTTCTGAGGTGAATAATATATTTTCATGTATAGCTCACAGGAGTGAGTTTAATATGCTGAAGGCCACATTTTCTATTCCCTGTTATTGAAATTTAGTGCTCTTGATCACCTTGCTTAACTTAATCCAAAGCTTTATCTGGAAAATGTTCAAGAAAAAAGCGTCAAACAAGATAGCAATAGTCTTGGAATATGGGAAGAATTATCTTTAAATATAAAATTTATGTACAGAGGCTTGAAAAAAATGTAAGGAACACCTGGTAGCTCAGTGGCCTCCAAATTGTGGGGGATGTCCCCCCAGGGGGGCACAGAGGAATGTTCGGGGAAGGGGGAGTGATGGAGCCTGGGCCAGCCCCCATGGAGGGTGGGGAGGGAGCACTACCCGGCCCTGCCACGCCCCCACCCACAGCTGCAGCCCCCACCTGGGTCCCCGGATCCCGGCCCCTGACCACGGCCCCACTCCCGGCCCTGGCTCCTGACCGCAGCTCCTGGA